TTTTTTTTTTTTAAAAAAAATTCAAAAATTGTTCTTCATTTTTTTAAAAAACAACAATCATCATAAACACAAAAGAAAATGGGTGATTCGAGGCGGATTAGGCTGAGTTTCGGAGGGAGGACCTTCGGCGGCACTGGTGGCAGCGGCGGAGGCGGCGGCGATGGTGGAGACGAGGTATTTATTTTTTTTAATTTCGGATCCCAGGAACTTCCGCCCAAAATTTCCGGATGTTCCATGGAGGATCCAGAAATTTCAAGCGGATCCTCCATGGAACTTCCGGAAATTTTGGGCGGAAGTTCCAATTATTTTTTTTTTTTGGCCCGTTAATAAAATTGTTAATTTTATTTTTTTTTCGGATTTTTTTTTTTTGTTATTTTGAAGTGTTATGGTGTTATTGTTGATATTATTATTATTGTTGTTGTTATTATTGTGCTTATTATATTTGTAATGTAATTATTTTAAAAAATATGATAATTTTTATTATTTTGTTGATATTAGGTTTTTATTATTAATGTTAAGGGTATTGTTGTTGTTGTTAATTTGGTTTTTTTTTTTGGATTTTGTTATTTTTGTTGTTATTTTGAAGTGTTATGGTTATTATTATTATTATTATTATTATTATTATTATTATTATTATTATTATTATTATTATTAGTGTTATTATTTTTAAAAATATGATTAGTATTATTATTAAACTAATTTGATATTAGGGTTTTTATGGTTATTGTTGTTGTTTAATTTTTTTTTTTTTTTGTTGTTGTTATAATAATATTATTATTAGTGTTATTAGTAGTACTATTATTAATATTTTTAATTATGATTAGTATTATAGTTGTTGATATTAGTGTTATTATTATTGTTATTATGGTTATTGTTGTTGTTGTTAATTTGTATTTGTTGTTGTCGTTGTTGTTGTTGTTGTTAGTTAGTTATTGTTGTTGTTAAGGTTATATTTGTTGTTGTTGTTGTTGTTATTATTATTATTGTTGTTATTGTTATTATGGTTATTATGGTTATTGTTATTGTTATTACTAAAATCGGATTATTTTTTAATTTTATGTAGATCGAGGGTTCTGGTGCTCGACATGCAATATCACGACGTCTGATTGCGTCTGTTAGGAGATAGACATCTCGATCTTCACCGGTTCAGCCCGAGCAGCAGCAATACGGGTCTACTAGTGGTTGGTCGAGAGACCAACAGTCTGGTAGTAGTCGGCCCTTGTACTCTGCAAGTGGAGCACCCATATCTGACGAGGAAGACGAATGTTCGGCTAGTCATGCTGGTGACCGGGATGAAGAACAGGACCCTCAGGATTTCCATATGGTATATAGGGGTCAGTTTGGGAGATTTGATGGTAGTGGGTCGAGTCAGCCTACTTCCAGCTCTGCAGAGGCATGGTTAGTGCAGTAACCGATGCCGGGTGGGCCTGAGGATGGGTCAGTTATCCCTAGTTTTGGCGGTCACGTGGCACGGTATATCTGGATGGAGCAGGAGCGTAGTGTTTTGCGCTGTTTGAGTAGGACAAAGTTATGTTCTGACTTGTTCACTTGGCGAGGCCGTCAATCTGTGGAGGACATTGCGGCGATTGATGCTAGTTGGTTGTCTCACTTGCCCGGCCTGATGTTTAAGAGACTTGATTGGCCGTTGATTTCTACTTTTGTTGAGAGGTGGCAGCCAGATACGAACACCTTTCACATGCCATTTGGGGAGATTACGATCTTGCTGCACGACGTGTACAACATACTTGGGTTACGGGTTGCAGGCAATATGGTGTCCACTACTCCTAGCACGGACGTGTTACGGGACGCGTGCTCGGTCACCATGGATATGACTCCAAATGATATGTCTGAGGTTTGCAGCACAAAGACCATTTGGCAGGGTAGTAGGGTGTTGACTGATAAGATTTTTGAGACGACATTGGCGGTCGACCGAGATTTTAGTGAGCAGCTTGATGCATACTTGTGGTTAGTGCTTGGAGGTACACTGTTTGTAGACAAGAGTGGTAACCGTACGCATCCTTCCTTCCTTCCTCCACGAGCTATGTCACACGGATGTCCCTATTAACGAGTATGCTTGGGGAACAACTGCACTGGCCTACTTGTATCGGCAACTGGGCACGGCATCACGGAAAGGTGCTGATTCGATTGCTGGTTGTCTCACGCTTCTACAACCGTGGATTTACGAGTACTTTCCGTGCTTTCGGCCACAGCAGGGTACCTTGACCCGGGACCTTCAAATGCCTCGTGCGTCTGCTTGGGATGAAGGAGCGGGATGTCCTAGCAATAACCTGGAGCGCCTGTTAGCTTTTCGTACTAGGATTGATGCGCTTACTGACCGTGAGGTGAACTGGCTACCGTACGGAGCTGATCCTGCATTACGAGTGCCCCCCACTTTATTCATTGGCTGCATCCAGTACCGTAACATCATTGAGCCGTACATGCCTGAGAGAGTGGTGCGCCAGCTTGGTTTCGTGCAAGGCATTCCCCACGAGATCATCAGGCCAGAGAAGGCCAAGAGGCCGACTAACTTGAAGATGTATCAGGTAGACTTCCCGACTGAGATGACAGTTGTGATGTGGAACAGTTTTGTCCCTGGGGTATCTCAGAGTGTTGTTTTAGGTGCCCTACCCAGGCTTAGTGTTGCAGCTCCTTCGGTTGCGCCCGGTTACATGCAGTGGTTGTACAGGTTTTCTCACCCGCGGGTATCTCCAGGTGCAGGAGTTACAAGCAACCTGCCTGAGTGGACTAACACTGATTACGTAAGTATTTATGCTTATTATTATATTAACAATGACTTATATGAATTTTTTGTGTTTAAAATATGTTATTGTTTGATTTGCAGTGGATGGGTCGGTCCATGGAGATTCACCAAAGAGCACTAGTCGTGCACTCGTCGCGCATGAAAACATATCCAACTAGAAAATTCTGGTTTGTCGGTGTCACGCCTACTATCTCAAAGAAAGGCATGTTATATCGATTGGTCTTGTAAGTAGAATCCATACCTATGACATGTGGGTATGTGCGGAGTATGTTGACCATGATCGGGTGCACCATAAATGCATGTTGCAAAACGTTGTGATCATCGTTCGTGAACCAGTAAATGTATTTACTCTCTCTCGCCAGATGAAGAAATTGCTGAACAACTCCTCTACCTTCGGACATCTCCATCCTGAAGTCATTTCGACAATTGTAAATGTGTCGGATGTTTGGATGATCATCAGGAAATTGCTCGGCAATAGTGGACATGATGTTACGGGGAGCAACCTTGGACTTTGTCATGTCCCGCACAAACCTGATTTGCACCCGGACTCAATCCGCTCACTTTACGGTGACCCTCTGGGTACACAATCATTGGGTGGTTATGTGTCCCGGTGTGATCATTTTTCGCAATGATCTTCCAACTTTCGGTGCTGACATCATAATATATCTTGATGTAGAATGGACAACCATTAGCTTTGGTTTTGGTGTCCTTCCGTATCGCGTTCTCCAAATCTCTCGGCTTGCTCCTTCGTGACCGATCACATCGCAAATATCGATACGGCCGACCATCTCTGGTTTTGTTATAAGACGATTTCACCAATATAAATCCCAATTTTATGGAAACACCATCAGCCCATGTAACAACATCGTCAAATGTAGGAAAAAAACATATCGGTGACAAAATTCCCACTATAATTCACACCGTCACCACCTTCCTCAGATTCCATATCCTATACAAATTAAACAAAACATGCTTTATGTCAAAATAATAATAATAAAAACAAAAATAATAATAATAATAATAATAATTATAATTAAAATAATAAAAATAATAAAAACAATACTAATAATAATAATAATAATAATAATAATAATAACAATACTAATAAAAATACTAATAATAATAACAACAAATACAAAACAATAACAATATTAATGATAATAAAAAATTATAACAACAACTACAAAACAATTTATAAGACCATAACATTAATTAATAAATAAATAATAATAATAATAATAACAATAATAATAATAATAATAATAATAATAATATTAAAATTATATTTCTACTAATTAATAATAACAATATCAACAACAACAACAACAACAATAAAAATAACAGCAACAACAACAATAATAATATCAACTACAACAACAACAATAATATCAACATATTACTAAAAATAACAATAATAATAATAATAATAATAATAATAATAATAATAATAATAATATAAATAATAATAATAATAATAATAATGAAACAAAAAATAAACATATTACTAATAATCATATTAATACAACAAAATTACATTAATTATCAAATACTAAATCACAACAATAATCACAAGACCACGAAAAAAAAATACATAAAAAAAACTTAATAAACATAAAAAAAATTAAATAAACGTACTTAACATTTAAAAAAAAAAATTAATAGGGACATCCGCCTAAAATTTCCGGATGTCCCTAGGTACATCCGCCTGAAATTTCCGGATGTACCATGGAACATCCGGATTTTTTAGGCGGATCCCATATTCCGCTTGAAATTTCCGGATGTTCCATGGTACATCCGGAAATTTTAGGCGGATGTACCTAGGACATCCGGAAATTTTAGGCGGATGTCCTAATTACCGAAAATAAAAAAAAAAAACTTACAGAATGATCCGACGCATTCTCCGGCGTACGTATGTTCCACTCGCCGTCCATGACCCAAGACCCGTCGGAAAATTTAACGATTTTTGAAAATAGAAAATTTAGGTGGTCGTGGGGACTGATTTGGTTGCAAGGTCGTGGGGACCGATTTTGGGAAGCTCGGGACAACAATGTCGTGAAGTGAGGGGACCGTTTCATGTATTGTGTCCAAATGAGGAACAAGGTCCTTTTTATAACCCAAATTACATAAAGGGCATAGTGGTTCATTCAAGTCAAAAGGGAGCGTTACCTGGTAATTTGGGAGCGACAAATAGCAGTTGAGTTACGACATTGAACGAAAACGATTTCATATTTTCATGAGTATGAGTATTCAAATATTTCCAGAAAAATTGAGTTCAAGACTCTTTTGCTCTCAGGTAAATAAATGTGTATTTTAATTTCATTCAAATTCACATTATTGTTTTCAAGTTTTACTAGTTTTACATATATTTTGGGGTTCAGTAGCCTTGAATTTAAACAAAATCTAATGTAATGGCAATACAATTAGTCAAATTCATGTTAAAATTCTCAAATTCTGTTTCATTTAGTTCAAATTCAACAATAAGAACAATTTCATCAGTGCAATATGTAGCATCTAGGGCAAGAGACCCAACATTTGAGAAGTATATGGATCATTACAAGAAGCTTGTTAAAGTAATTGCTATTCAAGACTTAATCTTGGCAAACCCTAACAAAAACCCACCTTCAGTTTCAGTTGATTTCTTGTCTAGGTTGTCTCAAAGACTTCACCTTAATCGGGGTGCACCGTCTTTTCTTCGTCGGTACCCTCATGTTTTTGAGATTTTCTATGATCATACTAAGTCTATGCCTTACTGTAAATTGACTGATAAAGTGGTTGAGATTTCTCGGTTGGAGGCGGGTGCGATAAATGAGTCTTTGCCGTTGGTTGTGGAACGATTGGTTCGAGTATTGTTGATGTCAGTGTCTAGGTCAGTGCCGTTGAGGGCGGTTTTTAAAGTGTGGAGAGAGTTGGGTCTTCCTGATGATTTTGAGGAGTCTGTGATTGCAAGGAATCCTCAGTTGTTCTTGCTTTGTGATGGGAATGAGCCTAATACCCATGTTTTGAAGCTAGTTGGTAGTTACCCTAGTGATAATTTTACTGCTGCGGTGGAGGATTGGCGAGTTATGGAGTGTTGTAAGGAGGATTCGAAGGTTGATAGGACGGAGATGCGATATAGTTTTAAGCAAGGGTTTCCACCTGGAATGAAGTTGAAGAAGACTTTTAGGACAAAGGTTAGGGAATGGCAGAAGTTGCCTTATGTTGGGCCGTATGAGGTTGTAGGAGAGAAGAGAGCAAAGATTGGTTTAAAGGGGCTGGAAAAACGAGCTGTTGCTATAGTTCATGAATTCATGAGTTTGACAGTTGAGAAAATGGTGGAGGTGGAGAAGATCAGTCACTTCAGGAAGTGGTTTGGGATTGATTTGAATATCAGAGATTTATTTTTGGATCACCCTGGGATATTTTACTTGTCTAACAAAGGGAAGATGCATACAGTTTTCTTGAGAGAAGCTTATGAAAGGGGACGATTAATCAACCCAAATCCTGTCTATGAGGCTAGGATGAAGCTTCTTTATCTGATTATGATGGAACGTCGTGGAATGTTAACTACAACTCAAAATTCTGTCAATGGGGAAGATGATGTGCAAAACAAAGATAATAAACTGATTTCTGCCACTTCAGTTTCAGACAATACTAGCACAGATCAATAATGTTGGAGCTAAGATGGTGGGTACATGCTTATCTGTTTCCATCTTTTTGATCATTCTAATCTAAACAACTATTGTTGATTACAATTTGAAAACAATCAGATAAGTTTATTACTGTCTCTTTAGGTTAAAATGCTTGACTGATATTGGTCTGGAGAGATCTCTTATAGCTATAGCTGATTACATTTCACATTGCAGCATCTCATCAAAAACCTTATTGTTATATTATACAATAGTGACTCGGTATGATTTCATGCTGAAATTGGTAATTTGTAACAATTTCAGCTTTCTATCTTCTGAGATTTAGTGCAATATAATATGTGACACATCTTTTAACTTTGTGAGTTTTTGATTCGTTTATTACGGAATCACTTCACATCCTTATGAGATGTATATTAATTTTGAGGTATTAACGTATCATCATTTCAAATTGGTTACTTAAGTGTTGTCTTAACAATTTCTTAGTATATTATGTGGAGGAATGTATGATAGACTTTGGTAAAAACATAAAAGGATAATTAGAACTGGTTAAAGAATTCCCTACATATAAGATTGTTTTTTGTTATTTGATGTACTCTTACCACCTCTTTTTTGGTTTTTTTTTTTTTTTTTTTTTTTTGGGGGGGGGGGGGGGGGGGTTGAATATTATACATTTGCTTTATAAAAGAAAAAACCTGACATGTCTCCGTGAGAGACTAGAAGGCCATAAGTGATCACAGGAAGTAAGCTAAGATTCTTTAGATTCCTAATGCTGCTTTTACACTGGGATTTTAAGTTGATGAATTCTAGCGACAAAAATTTTGAGGGATATCATTTCCGCCCTTAAATTGGGGATGGGGGCAATTTTGAAGGGACTGCTAGATTGTACTTTCCCTCATGAAGGTGAAGGGAACTTGAACTGTATGGTTTTGTTCTGTGGTGGATGCTTTGTATGTTAATTCAAGTAGCATTTGTGTTGCTTTTAAAATTGTTTTGTTTAACTGTTGATGTATGCTGCTGCAGGTGAATATGGTGGATAACAGAAAACATAAGATTGGCAATAGAGCCTATTCAATTTATTGCTACAGCTCCTAGTGAAAATTCCATTACTTTGGAGTTTCAGAGGGTGATTTGCAGTTGAGTAGAAGTCAATATTTGTCCCTGCAATCCAGAAGTATATCGAGACTTGCAGAAAGTGGATAATGAGATTACTGACCTATCACACCTCTTGTGCTTATGCATGACAATCTTGATAGGTGAGCAGATGAAAGATCATGTTTGCGAATTTGTACCTGCAGATTGTTCCATTTTCTGGTTTTAATTGTCAGCTGTATAAAGATGCAATGTGATCCATTTTACTCTTAGATTTATTCTGTCTCGCTTTGTTCTTTCAGAAATGATCTTGTCTTCTACATGTTTCATTTTGATCATTATTACCATGGATAGTTGATGAATTTCTCAGGGTTTGTCTGCGTAATATCATTAGCTTATCTGCCTCACAAACTTCAGCTTGATGCTGATCAATTTTCAGGAAAAGCAGTCAATAAAATACAATACTGTGTCATCCTTTTGTTAGCTGTACTTATGGGAATGAATTTTTAAATGTCTTAACATTTGGGATCTGAACTTTAAAATCTTATCGTTTGGCACCTAAACTTGGATGTATGCCTTTTAATTCTCTCTTCTTTTAATCTTTCCTTTTCCCAATGGTAAGATTTGATGATGATTAGGGAGATCGTTGTAGGAGGAAAGAGTGGAGGAATGTTTAGCTGAGGGAAGTCAAAGAAAAGGTTTTGATTGCTAAAATCCGGTCAGATTGCAAATAAAGTTGCATTAATTATTTTCAGAATACTTCTTGCTGAATTATCTACTCTTTAGTCTCAACTCTCAAATTACTTGCTCCGTAAGCAGTTGGCAGAGTTGATACATTATTCGATGAGAGTGAAAAAATAGAGAGAAAACGGCAGAGAGGGTAGGACCTAACTTCACTGACAGTTTAGAGGAAAAGTGTAAAGAATGGGGCAAGTTTTTGAGTTACCCTGAAAAGTAAAATGGGGCGAGTATATTGAGACGGTGAGTATCATTTTGTAAAAAAGCTCTGAATACTATTTGTGTTTGCTGAAATTCGCTGCATGTATTGTGCCTTTATGTTTAAAACATATGATTTGGTTGTGCTATGTTTTCTTATTGCTGATGGTACAAATTTTAGTGTTCAATCCCCAGTTTTAATAATTAGGGGATTGGTCGCAGTATTTGGATATGACTAGTAACTGAAATTTTATTAGATCTCGAAGAATCTAAAATTTTACCCGGTTCAGCATCTGGTGAAAATCATTCTTTCTTGGTATTTTGGTCTAAATAAAGTCCCAAACGATTGAGTTTTTTTTTTACTTTGCACTGCATATTTTTGTTGTTCAGTCTACATTCAGTAAATATGATGAGGGTTGATCCAATTTCCCCTGTTCTTTAATTGCAGGAGCCAACTTTGTCTGTTACTCCTGTGAAGTGGCTGATGTAGTTCATGGGAGCGAAGCCAATCATTTCTATGCCCAGGAATTATTCCTGCATCTGGTCAGTGGTTTTTTCGTAGATATTCCTGTCATTGCCCATGCATCAGTTCTTCCTCAATGCAGTCTACAGGACAAGGACATCAATGAATAAGTTTACCCTAAAGATCCGTATTGTGATCCAAAGGATGGTAGTGCTTTGATTCATAACTCGGTCCATGCGCCAAGGCTATCTAAATCACACATTGACTTGGTATGTGTTCTCCATTTGGACACTTTTTTATGCTTGCACTTGCAGCATTTTTATTGCTGTATGAATCTCCTAAAGTCCTCAAGGCTATATGTATTTTGCTCTTTTTATCTAAGAGTATACTTGTCTTAATGCAGAAGTGTATCAATCATATAGAAACTTATATTAGAAAAGAAAAAATAAATAAGATCAACATAAGTTACTGTTTGGAAGTTTTCTTCAATTATAATTTTTTTTTTCCCTCTTGGGTTATTAAGTTATGAAAAGTTGTATATGAAGTTTATTGAAGGATTGCACATAAATTCACCATTAAGATTTTGGAGAGATTTGGTGATAGCATACTCTATTACTTCGTATTGTAAAAGAGTAGAATGCTTATTAACTTGAAAAGATAAACAATGTTGGAACTCTTGGAAGTTATGGAAATTATTGGCTTAAGATGCACATAAATTGAGGATTACAGGGTTAGAGAGTGGTGATTAAAATTTTGAACTTTTGACCCGCATATTAGGGCTTCAATGTTTTGCACCTCGACCCTCTCAAGATCAATCTTCCTGAAGATTTGCCATCTCCTGAAAAACACTTTAAATTTTATGATCAACATTCTAAAACATCTTAATACTATAAACCTCAACCTTCAAATTTTTGCCAGTGAGTTCAGTTCCTCAACCTAATTCAAATGTTACACCTCCATCAAGTTTCTTTTAAAAAAAAGGAAAAATTAGAAATAATAATTCTAACTTTCATCAATTTTGTTAGAATAATCCCAACTTTGGATTATTCAGGAATACTCTGAATTTGAACATTGAAGGTCTTCTTTTTCTTCAATCCCAAATATCGGTTACCGGTTGAATGGGTTAATTTTTTTTTTAAATTTTTTTTTTGGTTACAGTGACGCGTGTCGCAGGGTTAAAAATATATATATTAAAAAAATTTAAAAAAAAATCAGCCAAAGCCCTAATCATCCAGCCAATCTGGCAACCCGCCCAGCCAACCACCTCCCTCGTGGCCTCGTCGGACCATCGTCCCTCCCCCACCGCTAGAGTCGCCGCTTTAGCCTTCCCTCTAAACCACCCTCCCCCTCCCCGAAACCTAGACCTGTTCAATGGGTTAGGGGCCCATTTAAAGCCCTAGTCCAGCCCTTTTATAAAAGGGGTTTACCCATCCAACATTTAAATGGGGCGGGCTTTTAAAGGGCTATTAAATAATGGGTTTTAAAGGGTTGGGTCTAAGTTAAAAAGGGCTGAAATTAGATAACATTTATGAAGCTTTTTTATCCTAAATTTTCTGTTTATTTCTAAAACTTTCTAACGTCAGTTTCAAAAAAAAAAAAAAAATCCCTTTAAAAATCCCCTATTTCCCCCAAATGATGAACCCTAAAAAAATTCCCAAATTCTAAATCTTCAATTTATCATCTTCTTGCTTGCCGCTCTCAATCGTTGATTCCGTCATATCATTTCAATTACCAAGGTATGTTGTTCGATTTCGCTCAATTTTTCTCGATTAGTTCTCGATCATATTCAAGTAGTACATTTTAATTTCCTTTTTTCAATTATTTTGATTTGTTTCATCTGGAATTTGTATGTTTTTGTGATTTTTATTATTAATGAGAAGATTAATGTAGTTTCCTATGCAACTTTTCATTATTAATGAGAAGATTAATGTAGATCCGAAACAGACACAATGATCCACTTCTCTGCCCGAAAATTCGAATATGGGGTGACTTTATCAAAGTTGGGTTTAATAGAATTCCAATCAACTTTAGGAAAATGTATGGTTTCAACATCATGAGCTTGTTTTTCAAAGCAAACAAGTGCAGCATTATAATCAACATTACGAAGGAAGAAAAGTGCAGCAACAGTAGCAAGTAATTTTGGGGATTTTGAGCTGAACCCTTAGTGGGTATTCGATCTTGGACTAACATTTGAGCAAATTTTAACACCCTTTAATTTTCACTCAATTTTTTACCAAATTATATTGTGTCTACTTTATGGTTGTTTTGGATTGTTTATACATTTTAAATGGGTCGGGCCGGGCTTAATGGCCCATGGACAATATCGGCCCATTTTGGATTAGGCTTGACCCGACCCGGCTCGGCCCATTCTAGATAAAGCCATGTCCGGCCCGGCCCGTTGAACAGGTTTATTGAAACCCCTACGCAACCACCAATAAACCCCCCCCCCCATTTTGAAAACTTCCAACCACCACTCCGCTTACCTCGAAACCCTAGCGACTAGGGCTTTTGACGGTGAGGAAGTGGCTATTGGGGGTTTTCGGGAGTAAGAGAGGGGTTTCGATGGTGTTTCGAATGGTTGGAGAGGTTTAAAGGGAGTTTCGATTGTGGTTGGCGGAAAATCGAATCGAAAAAGGAGGGGAGTGGAAGTGGGTCGCAACACTGGCACAGGGGTTTGGGGGGATAGCGGCGCAGCATTGGGGTAGGGGAAGGGAGGGTAGGCGTGGACGGCCGGTGGTGGTGGTTATAATGGTCAGGTAAGGGTTACGATTTTTGGGTTTTTCTCTTTTTTTTTAAAAAAAAAAAAAGATTTTTTGACCAATCAGATTGGACTTGACACGTGTCAAGTGACCTAAGTCATTGACTTTGGTAGACCGGTTTGGGATCGAAGAAAAAGAAGACCCTCCAAAGTTCAGATTATTTCGGAATAATCCAAAACTGGGATTATTATTTCTAATTTTTCCTAAAAAAAATAAAAATAAAATAAATGTACAACAACTCAATTTATCATACTTACATCTTCTTATACAATTAACATTTCACGTAGACATTTTGTTGCCAATTGAGATCACAATTAAGCATTGAACCAAAGGAAGTCAGCCAGACTTCACAATCCACCGGCTTTATGGTTAGAAATAAGCAAGAAGACAATGGTTTGCCAATATAATTTAAGACTTAAAGGTGCAAGACTACAATTTCTCACTTGAAAAGGGCATATCAATATATCACCTTCGATGCAATGTATGTGGTATAAAAATACACTTAGGGTAAATTTACTAAGAAAATTCTTTAAGATTGTGGGATCAATATTGTAATCCAATAGACCGTCACCTTAGAACAAGTTATATGCAGAATAAGGTGACTTGTTTCAAGATCTACCTCTGTATAGCATCTTAGTTTGGAAGTAGAATTTCCTCTTTAAGTATTGGCCTAATCTTGCTTACAGACTATATATACCCCGATCCAGTATATGCATCAACCAAGGAAATCGCGCTATAACAATTTAGTGCATACTCTCAATAATGCAGCAACAGCAGCATGAAAAGGCGTCAATTGATGGCAACTGATCAACTCAGATTATTAGCCTTCTCTAGTCCTAATAGAAACCAGCTCCTAAAAATCAAAGAAGTAAAATACGATTTCCTTGGTTTTTTTAGAAGTTGAGTACAGAGCAATGGCAATTGCAGCATATTTGAATTTACATAGGTGGTGCATTTACAAGAAGAGATAGGGCTCGCAAATCTCTTTATACAGCCATGATTCCTGTGTTCCATAGCATAAAAAATAATTACATAGATATTGACTGTCATTTTACAGTACTTGAAAGTCACTAGTCTCTTATTGGTTCTCACCTGGCTGATGTATAACAAAAGTACTTCCATGAGTTCCATCACCTCAGTTCAATGTGCTAAAGTCCAAGGGAGGCAATTGACACAAGCCTTAGCTTTAAGGGTTTGTTGGACTATGCTATTAGCAATTAGTCCAAATTGGCAAGTCCAACAAGATTGCAGGCTGATGATCTAGTGATATTCTGATGATCATAAAGTCATTGGCAGGAGATAAGTTTGATGGGTTTATTATTACTGATGCAATGTCAACACAGTTTGTTAAATGTTTGTTTATGGCATTTAGTAATAAGGCTTAGATAGATTTATATACTCTGAGCTGCATCTCACTCGAGAATTCATGTAGCCTGTTTCATCACATGACATCAGAACTGTGATGACTGAAATATTTCTCTTGGCTTACATTAATGGAGTTTTAGTCATAGAGTTTGAGTTGCAAGAAGATTGCAATGATAGCTAGAAACTGATCTTTCTCACTACATAGTTAATTGGTAGTGCCATGTAAATAGATGAAAAGATGATTTTTCCCTTGGAATTAAATATATGTACATTTGTTTGATTATCACTAGCATACTTGGATTGAGGGAAATGTATTACTACTGTAATAAAAGTCAAAATAACTTAACTAAGCAAAATGAACGTAAATATAGGGAAGGAGGAGATAATAATGGTGTGATTGTAATGAAAATTATGTAATCATGGTGTGGTATGAGGTGAAGAAAGAGAAACTAATACCCTCATTTTGGGGATAATAATTATACTAGGGGGAGGGTGATTAACTATTACCCTCATCATGAGGATAATAATTCCTCCATCACTCTCTTTTCCTCATGGCACAACTATCTTATTTTAATTGTAAACAAGTTGTCTCCTAAAAAAACACTTCTAATTACTCATGTTTTTTCAAGTTTGACTTTTATTACTCCCCTTAATATATCACCCCTAATCCAAGCATGCCTTAAAACGTAAAGGTGGAGAAAGTTGTTTAGGGTAATTTTACCCTGCCACGTGGTCCAACCAGAAAGTGACACGTGTCACCCTAGGGTTAGTCCAAAATGGACCAACCCCTGATTGACACGTGTCGTCCCAAAGAAATGGGAAAAAAAGGCGGCCTTCATGGACCAAATCCCGAGAAAACCGCAATGCGGCGCAGCCCACCAATGAGTAGGACTTGATGACCTAATCAGGGGCACAATTCCCGAGGACCCTATAAATAGGGAGATTTCCTCCATTTGGAAGCACGTTTTACCATTTATTACACATTTAGTCTTTGAAAGAGCCATCTCGAGCTTGGAATCCGAGCAGATACCCACCTAAATTTCCGCACCTTCTTACTCCTATTCAAGTTACTAACTTGATCGTCGGAGGCGGAGCTCCAACCACTCGGAGTCTTCGTTATTTTGCAGGTACAGCTCAGGTCGGACCAGACTTTGTGACGTAACTCTCCCGAGGGACAAAAACACCCAAAAAATTTGGCGCCGTCTGTGGGGAGAGCACCTCACCTTATCCAAACAACCCTCAACCTATTACCCGACCGGGTAATACAAGCATTTCTCAACCGGTTCATCAACCGGGTAGTTCAAGCATTCCTCAACCGGTACATCAGTCGGATGATGATGATGTGGAGACATATGTGACCAAAGATGGCTCATTCATCTCCAAATACACTCGTTCTAGAGATCAGCTGGAACGTGATGCAAACCAGGCAGGTCGAATCAGGCCCACTGGGAGGCCAGAAGGGGAAACCCAGAAGGCTAG